GAGGGGGGGAGTAAGGGGCTGGGGATGGGCCAGAAAGGGTGAAGGCGAGGCAGTGAGGGCTGGGCAGAACAGTGGGTGCGTGAACAAGTGGGTGCAGCTAGGTGGGTTAAGGGATGACCAGGCTGGTGCTGGCTTTTTCAGCAACCCTGGTACTTTTGTTTTATGTTAGCAGGAATTTTTTTAAAGGAAAAAAAGTATTCAGATATGCAGAATTGATTCCAATAAACTGATTCCACATTTACCCCAAAATAAACGGCCCTTTGCCAACCTAGCAGTTTGAAAGCATGTAAATGTGAGTAGATAAATAGGTACCACCATGGTGGGAAGATATAGGCATTCCATGTCTAGTTGCATTGGTCACGTGAGCACAGAAACTGTCTGCGGACAAACGCTGGCTCTACATCTTGGAGATGAGGATGAGCACCGTACCCTAGAGTCAGACACGACTGGACTAAATGTCAAGGGGAACCTTTACCTTTACCTTGGCAAAAAACCTCGTTCCCTTGACAGAGCGGTTCACTCAAGGATGTACCTTGTGTGTACACTAATCACTTTAAATCATGTTTTTTAAGGATAACAATGGGGTAGGGGTTTGGCAATGGGATCTATGTGTGTTTGTGAAATGAGGAATTCTGTGCTTAAGCTCTGTGTATAGACACTCCCACTTTTTTATTTCCGTATGTGAAACACCTGATCTAAAACCCTTGCTGGACTGTTTTCAATCAGTATAGACCATTGTCTGGGTTGGTATAGGCCAGGGGTCTCAAACTCAATTTACCTCTGGAAGCAGAGCCTGGGTGAGGCTGGGCTGCATCAGATTTTCCGCCAAGTGGAAGGAAGCCGCCCAGGAGTTTCCTTAGCCCGGCTGGGGCTCCGAGGAGGAGGAGGAGGAGGGGCGTGCGAGCCCTTGTCGCTGGCCACGCCCCCCTCCGGCTCCTTCTTCATTACTACTATCACTACCACCAGCAGGACGAAGAAGCAGAGAAGGGAGGGAGCACCGGTGACCACCTAGCTGGGGTGGGGGGAGGAGGGCACGACATAAAATTTTTAAAAATCCCTCACAGAATTCCCCTTGCCAAAGGAGAAAAGCCCCCACCAGTACACGCAAAATTACACAGAACAGGGCGGGGGCCCACAGAGATGCGCATACCTTTGGGTAGAGTGGGCGGCATATAAATTAAATAAATAAATAAATAAAATTAATGTGCACGCACACACACACACGGACACGAAGGTCAGGCAAACTTCCTCTGAGGACCCCCCTAAAAAAGGCGCACTCAGCAGCAGCAGCTGCCCCCACCATGACAGAAGAGCAAACTTTGCAAGGTGAGCCCAGGCACCCTCCAGAGCTGAGGACGAAGAGGACAAGGAGGAAGCACTGCCAGGCGCTGAGGCAGCCGCTGGCCAGGCTGGTGCTGGGGGTGCAGAGAGAGAAAGAGAGCCACAAAGCCGCTTCCCTGGAAGAGGCGGCAGCAGTGGCTGCTGTTGTTCGAGGCTTGGAGGCACTCTTCGAGGACAGGCTGGGAGCAAGCTCCACTTTCAGGCATTGCTCGGCGGCAGCTGAAGAGCTCGGGGGAAAGGGCTGGCAGTGGATCTCGCTTGCTGGCTCTCCCACAAGACAGCAGCTCTTGCACCCTCCATCCAACTGCAGCCTGCCAGCCGGCAGACAGGCTGGCTGGCTGGCAGGCTGCAGTTCTGGATGGAGGGGGCAAAAGGCGCTGTCTTGGAAGAGAGCCAGAGAGCGAGGAGAGGCTTTTTTTTTACTCTTGACAGCAGAGGACGAGTGGGTGCTTCGGGGGGGCAGGCAAGGCAGGGGCAGTAAACTCTCATCTGGCGGGCCGCAAATGGCCCCCGGGCCGCATGTTTGAGACCCCTGGTATAGGCAATTGTCCTTTGATTTTTAGCATTTTCCTGCTCCTCAGGAAAGCAGATGTTCTACCTCTCCTTTTGTTTTCCTACTTCCCTTTCCCTATCACAGATTTTCTCCATTTTTTGCCCAGATGTCCAAGATTCAATCTCCGTCACAATTGTGGATCAAATAGATGGAACACTGGAAGGGGCCATGGGTGAACCTCTGAATATAATGACGGTAGACATCAAGGGATCTGCCAGCATGTCTCACACAAGAACTGTGAAAGTGAAAAAGATACACATTTGTCCCAAGGTTCTGGATTCTGTGATTGAAAAAGCGTAAGTCTGGAAAGAAACAACTTTACAAATATCCCCTTTGGAAACCTTACTGAGAACTATCTTGTATGCCAATCCAAAACTAGTGTTTCTTATCATTGCTTTTGTTCACACGTGCTCTAGTTCCAGCATCAGCTAGAATTAATGTGCAGTTTCAAAAGCAGAAGCTTCATTGTCTGCTTCCTCCTAATATTAATTTGAGCATTCCAAAGAATATGACTCAAAAGTGCTAACCATAAACTGAAAAATGAGAAGGAAGTCTAATACAACAAAGTTGCACTTTAAAAAATGAAACTATGGTTGCTAGCTTTAAATATATAAACAATATATTGTTGCATATAGCTTTTCTGTACATCACTATTTTATGCAGTTTGCTTTTGGATACATACTGGCTAATAAATGTGCATTTTCTCCTTTAGAAAAATCAAGATGGATCATGGATTTATTGAACAATCCAAGAGGCTACAGAGGAACCTGTATGTGATCACTGAGGCAATAGAAACTACAGAAGAAGCACGGTTTGAGGAAGCCAGTAAAATGGAAGGCAGCATCTTTTACAAAACCTGTGTCAAAATGCATCTTATGGTTAGATTTGAGTTTTGCAACCTTTCGGGAAATGAAACAAATGGACTAAGTCCATCTTCAGCCCTAGTTAGATTTAGACCCATTGAAGTAAATGAAACATACTTACTTGGCTAACATCCTATTCAGTTCAATTCATCTGTTTCTATCTGGAACTAAAATTGGATTCAGATCATGATTTTTTCCGTATAGGTGATTCAGGTTTTCCTCTCATGTTCCAGGGCACCAGAAAGGAAAATAAAGCACTTATCGTCCCAAAGTCCTGCATTCTGGCATTCAGGGCCAAGAGATTACAACTAATGACAGGAGGATCCATAGGTAACGGACTTGTTTATTTTAGACCATAAGCACCTGAGCAAAGGAATTGTGGTCCATGAAGGTTCCTACTGAAATGAAAGTATTGATCTTGCGGGTGCCACAAGCCTTTGTCTTTTGTTTGTTTTGTTTTTAGTATACAGTGGTGCCTCTCAAGACGAGTGCCCCGTTTAACGACGAAATCGCATCACGATGAACTTTTTGGGATTGCAAAAGTGATCGCTTTACAATGTTTTAAATGGGGGAAAAACCCACAACAACCATCAGATCCCGGCCGTGAAAGCCTTCGCAAATACTTTGTCTTTTATTTGTTTTGATTTTAGTATACATCTTCGAACAGACTAAGGGTGTGACTGCACTGCAAGGGAAATGTGCATTCAATCACTCTGAAGTCGCAACCAGAGAATTTGGGTCTGTTTGATTAAACAGCCACACTAACATCCAACTGCTTGCAGCTCTACTTACATCCCTGCAGGTGGAGCTGCGTTAATAAGCAATGAGATAGTATTTTTCCTCTCTGGATTGCTAGTTTCCAACACAAGGCTTTGCCTTGGTAAACTGTTAAAATAATTTAAATTAAATTAAATAAGAGGAGTCTTTCCCAGGAGAAGCTTAACAGAAATAAGGAAGATCCTTGGGAGGGAGGCTTTGCTGGGCTCAATATGTACTGACATTGCCCTCTGCATGTGTGTGTGTGTTCTTGTACTTTAATGAGGTAAGAAGCAAGAAGTGAGGCTGATGGTAGGAAGGTGCTTTGAGTGTGTGCACACTTCAGCCTCCCTTTCTTCATCAATTCAAGTAATCACATGCTTATATTGATCTGAAAGCATTTGAAATGTTAAAAAATATAAGGTTCCTTGGTGGACAGAAAAAGCCGCTGATTGTTGAGAAGGGACTCTGGGGATGATTTGCATTTCCTGTTCTGTTTTCTGATCAGCAGGAAAAAAATGTGAATCAACTCACCCCAAACCCATAGCATTTTCTGGCAATGTGGTTGCCCTTTAATATAGCTATCTCTCTCAAACCCATCACCGCTTTTACTTATCCTGTTTATAAAAAGGATTCCATGAATAAAAATGTTCAGGGTGACAAATTAATATCTTTGAAACAAGTTAAAAACCAGGCAGAGCAGTTTTTAAGAAAATTAAAAACATAACTATTAACATGCAGTAATCAAGACAATTAAAATCTACTTTCTTTATTCATATCTGAGTGTTGCACAATTACCGGTAATATTTATGGATGTATCTAAAATATAAATACAATTCAAACAGATTAAAATAGTAAAATAATTGGAATATTTTTTATCAGAAGCCACCTGTTACAATAGCTTTATCTCAACTGTTTACTAGACCTTCTTCTATACATTGGTAGGGCAAAAATTGCATGCACATAAATGATGCAATGATTGAATTTCTCTACATTCACAGAAAATTTGTCCTATATCTAAGTAGACCCATTTTATTTCATTATTCTTTGATCTTACTATTTTGCTTCAAGGTATTAAATGATTTTCAGGTGCTTCAGTCAGGATCTCTCCTGGTGCGAGACAGTCTTCAGCACTCATCCATTCGACAAGGGATGTTGTTTTCGCTCTCCATAGGTTTAAACTTAGCATCTTCTAGTCTAATATTTAGAGCTTGAGATGTGTGCAGAAAATGTTTCCTTCATTTTAGATGTCATGTAGTGGATTGCTGTTAATGAAATGGATGGTTTGATGCTCTTTGCCTTATTTTCTTCATTATTTAGCAACACTTCTTAGCATACATCCAGAGAGTCCATGTCAGTCGCATAATAGACTTTTTCAATGGGGGTAGGTTTCAGTCAGCCAGTAATAATCCTATAAGATTCATTAAGGGCTACATCCACTTGGTTGACATGTGCTGATTCATACATATGGCAATAGCGTATTCTGTAGTGGAGTAGCACAGAGACAAAGCTGTTGTTATTTGTTGTGGGAATACACCCCAGTTTGACCCAGCCAATTTTCTAAATACTGTATGTTATTTCTGGTGGCA